GGAGCCTGGTGGGCTGCAATCCATGGTGTCACAGAGTCGGACACACTTAGTGACTAAACAACAGTATTCTTTTGGTTAGCCAGAAGAAACCCTTCTCCAGATTCATGTGGGGCAGGTCTCTTAGCAACAGATTCCCTCACCTTGCATTTCATGGGACGTCTGGTTTTTTCCCATATTTGAAGGCTAATTTTGCTTGGTTTGGAATTCTTAAGTGACAAGTTTTTTCTTCCAGAAATTTAAAAATGTCATTGTACACACTCTAATGACCCCTGTTGAATTTGATGAGAAATTTATTGTTTAATCTTATTGAGGATTCCTTGTATGTAACAAGTTTCTTCTCAAAGATTCTCTTTTTCCTTGGCTTTTAGCAGTGATTTATTACTTTATCTCAGTGCAGATCTCTTTGTGTTTATTCTGGTGGTTTCTTGAACTTCTTGAATGTGTAGATTCATGTCTTTATCTAATGTTTCAATTGGTATACCTTTAAGTTTACTGAGTTTTTTCCCTCTGTACTCACATCTATTGTTGAGACCCTCTAGTGTATTTTTCATTCCGGTTATTATAATTTTAAGCATCAGTGTGTGTGTTTGGTTCCTTTTTAAAATGACTATTGATTCTGTTTGTTGAGACTTCATTGTCCTGGTTTCCTTTGTAGTTTCTTGTCCTTGGTTTCCTTTAGCTCTTGGAGCAGATCTAAGACAGTGATTTAAAGTCTGTATTTAATGTCTGCGTTTCTGCAGGGACAGATTCTGTTAAATTCTCCTGTGAATGGACTATATGCTCTTTTTCTTTATATCCTCTGTAACTCTTTCTTGAAAACTGGACATACTGACTTTTATGATATGATGACTCTGGAAAGTAGGTTCTTTACTCATGATTTAATTTTGTTGCTTTGTGTTACTTGCCTTTTAAGTGGTTTTCTATATAGTTTTTTTTTTTTTAAAGTGTGCTTTCTTTGTCACTTTGATCTCTAAAGTCTGTTTTTGTAGCTTGTGTTCAACTAGTGTTTTGGCAAAGACTTGCTTGAATACTAGGTGCTAAGATAATGTGCAGTAGAAGGGAGAGGGGTTCAAAAAAAAAAAACAACTCTCCAGTGTTTGTGGGTTGACTCTGTGCTGGGATCTTTCCTTCAGTGGCCAGCCAGTTTGCGTAGAGTTCTGCTTCCTGCTTGCCCTGTATCAGGAGATATATCAGGGATTAAAGTTTAACGTCTCATCAGGTCTTTTACGAGGATGCATCCTGCCCTGGGCATGTGGTGCTGTCTAAATTCCCTGGAATGCACAGATACTTTTCAGCGCTCCCAGTTTCCAAGAGAAAATTCATCCCAGCTTTTCCTCTTGGACTCTTGGCATGTTTGTGAACCATAATCTTTTGCCCCAGGCATCTGTGCCTTTTTTTTTTGGTTTTGTCTGCCATACAGTGATTTGAGGAATACCCTCCACTTTTCTGCCCTGTGTGAGTTCTGAGCTTGTCAAAAGAATAAGATGTGTTCTTCAGTAGCCCACAGGCATTTTAAAATAGGGAAGTACAATTATTTGCGAATAAAGTCTGCTCTGTTCCTTCAGAAACTGGAGCTGGGGTTATTTACTGGGGTTATTTATTTACTGGGGTTATTTATTTACTGGGTCTACAAGGTGCTCTCTTCAAGACTTCTGCTGAATCCAGGGTGGCAGGGGTCAAGGGAAAGTAAGAATTCCCAAAGCTTTCTTACTTTTTTTTTTGCTGGCTTTTTTTGCCCCTTGCAGGATCTTAGTTCCCCAACCAAGGATTGAACCCAGACCTCTGGCAGTCAGAGCACCTACTCGTAACCACTGGACGGCAAGGGAACTCTCCACTTCCCCACAGTTTTAAAGTTTTTTTTTCCCTGACTTAGCATTTGGTTGGTTTCTGCAAACCTTTCTTTTTTCCAGAATCTTTGAAATTGGTTCTTACAGTTTTGCTGACTTTTTGATGTTTCTGTGGTGGAAGGTGCCTTTGGAGTGGCCTGCTCCCCCATTGTCGCTGACATGTGCTCATTTGCTCAGTCGTGTCCGGCTCTTTGCGGCCCCATGGACTATACAGTCCATGGAATTCTCCAGGCCAGAATACTGGAGTGGGTAGCCTTTCCCTTCTTCAGGGGATCTTCCCAACCCAGGCATCGAACCCAGGTCTCCCATGTTGCAGGCGGATTCTTTACCAGCTGAGCAACAAGGGAAACTGGAGTGTCTTAAGAAACATTGTCTAAATTATTTTGTCCCTTTTTAAAATTTTTGAGTTGGGGGGGATATGCATTGTTACATGCCAGGAACATTAATGTGGTCCTTGTTATTCCATCTTGACTAGTCTATTATTTCTTCTTATCCTTGATTTTTTTCTTATTATTCTCTTTTCCCTCTTTTCTTCCTTATTTGTGATTTTATGAATGTTTTTAGCATTGTATTTTAATCCATTTAATAATACACTTAATTCAATTCCATTTAAATTTAATGTTATTAGAGTACCATTTGGGCCATATCTTTTCTGTATATACAGGTATTAATATTTATGTATGTAGCTGTTGCAGTTGCTCTAGGGATTACAAGTTTCATACAAATAGTTCAATCTACCATGTATACCACTTCAGAACTGTTTAGATCTTTTTTACCTGCTTCTTTCCCAGTCTTTAGTAATAAAATGTTTTATACACATTGAAAACTTTACAAGACTTTTGATGTAAGCAGTCAAATGTATTTTAAATGAAAGACGGTATTATTATTATTTCATCAGCCAATACTCTGTCAGAAGTACCTGAGTATTTATCATGCTTCATTTTTTCTCTGCATCTTGGAGCTTCCTTCTTGGGTCATTTTTGTTTTCTCTCTTTTCTGTTGCCCATGGACAATTGTCTGGTCTTTCTTTTAGAGGGAATTTGTTTAAATATATTTTTTGGCTTTAATTTGTTTAAAGATATTTTTGGCTGTTTCAGGTTATTTATCCCGTTCTTTTGGTGATAACTTGCCTTTTGGTTATTTTCAGGTATTTTTCTTTTTGGTTTTCTGTAGTTCTACAGATTATGTGCCTGTGTGTGGATTTATATTAATATTTATTTACCTTGGGATTTATTGTGATTATTCATATCTTTTTATTTTAGAAAGTTTTTAGTTCTTATCATTTTAAATATTGCTTCCATACCATTTATTTCTTTTATATTTCTCTGAGACTCTAATTACTTGTTAGGTAACTTGTTATTATATTGTTTTTGTTTCTTGTCCTCTTTTTGTCTTTTTCATACTTCTGTGCTAATGTTCTGAGTATTTTCTTCTGACCTATTTTGTTCTGATTTACTTTTTGACTATTGATATATCTAGGTCATTGTTAATCCCATTTACTAGTTTTAAATTTTTGTTTTTACTTCTGTAATTTTTGATTTAATTTTTATTATTTTGTTGTGTGTATTTAAATATAATAAGCATACTTTTAAAAACATTTGTGTCTGAAACCCCAACATACGTATCTGTTTTGATTTTCATGTTTTTACTGCTATTCACTCATGTTGTCTTATCTCTCTTGTGTTTCATACTTTTCATTGTGCTGAAAATGAAAATGAGCTAGTATTATAAATTGTTGTTCAGTTGCTCAGTTGTGTCCGACTCTTTGTGACCTCGTGGACTGCATGCAGCACGCCAGGCTTCCCTGTCCTTCACCATCTTGCAGAGGTTGCTCCAACTCATGTCCATTGAGTCGGTGATGCCATCCAACCGTCTCGTCATCTGTTGTCTCCTTATCCTCCTGCCTTCAGTCTTTGCCAGAGTCAGGGTCTTTTCCAGTGAGTCAACTCTTCGCATCAGATTGCCAAAGTATTGGAGCTTCAGCTTCAGAATCAGTCCTTCCAGTGAATATTCAGCATGGATTTCCTTTAGGATTGACTGCTTTGATCTCCTTGCAGTATTAGAAATTATTTGTAGCCAAATGAATGACATTGTTTTCTTGGAGGGAGGGTTTACATTAGCTTCTGTCTGGTGTCTGGGGCACTTGATGATTCAGGGTTACATGAGTTGAATTTCTGGGCTTGAGATGGTAAAAGCTCCGCTGTAGGCTCTTGGAGGGCCTGTGTTTATTGGCATTTCTGGTTTGCATCCCCTCTGTTTTGCCACTGAAAGAGGGGCAAAGTGTTCCTCTTTTCCCTTAGTTGTCCAGGGACATAGATCCTATACTTTCAGCCTTCTGAGTTTGTCAAAAGTACCTTCCACTCTCTGAGCTGTTTTCTTTGAAATAAGCAAATGTCCGCCAGGTGGCAAAGGGGTCAAAGTTGTACTTAAGGCCTTGGACTTCCATCCTTTTGCAGTTTAGCCCGATAATTCCTTACTGTCACATCAGCTCTTTAGTCACATTATATCTTTCTTTAGTCACATTTTGAAAACTTGAAAGAAGCAACATTTAAGATCAATTATTTGAACTGAAATATTAAAATAGTAAAACAATGAGTGTTAGTATTTAAAATATCAACATTAGTGTAGCAATTACAAATTTAATAATGACATTTAACGTTTAAAGTATTTAAGTTTTTATTTTAGGTTTTCAGCTATAAAACTTCATACTTTTCTGTGGTTCTCAGAGAAAGTATTGATCTGAATTATTTAGTTTACTCTTATAAAATGTGTCAGTGCCATCATCTGAATTTTAAAGTGTTTCCCTTCGGGAGTTCCCTGGTGGCCCAGTGGTTAGGATTCTGTGCTTTCACTGCCATGGCCAGGGTTCAGTCAATCCCTGGTCTGGGAACTGAGATCCCAGATGGATGGGTGCAGCAGCCAAAAAAAAAAGTTTCCCTTTATTTGTGTTACTGCACACATTAACTGCGGAAATGACTAGGAGTCTTTTATCCGTAGTGGTTTGACTATTAGTAGTGTGAATTTGTTAATGTTTTTGTTGTGTGTTTGCTTAAATGGGCATTTAAGGGATCTATTCAGAAAGTTAATAATTTATGTTTTAAGAACCTTTGTTGATACTGGAAAATGACATTATTTTTGTTTACTTATTTTTAGGTTGGGCTCATGTGGTTTGTGCCCTGTATATTCCAGAGGTACAGTTTGCCAATGTTTCTACAATGGAACCAATTGTTTTACAGTCTGTTCCACATGATCGTTATAATAAGGTACAGTATATATTATTTTATTGATGTTTTAAAATAACTTTTTGTTTTAAAAGTGGTAAGTGTAAAGGAATTGTTAAATTTTGTTTATTATAGCCCTTCATTAAAATATTTAAATGCCTCCATTGAGTTGGAAAAAATATAATTACTGTGGTAAAGTACAGTTATTAAAATATGTTACTAAAGTCACAGGAGTATAAAACAAATACACACAAGCAAAACTGTATCACCTTTTATATTAACCTAGGTTTTAAAGGTCCTAATGTTTTAATCCTTACAGATTGTTCTTTAAGAATTACTGACTTAAACAAAAACAAAAAAAGAATTATTGACTCTTATGTTCTTTCAGATATTAAGGCTGTATTAAATTTGAATTAATCATTATTTGGTATAATATTCATTATGCTGATACACATCTTGTTTTAAAAAATAATCCTATCACAGAGTATTATTTATTCATCTCTCCAAATGATTGTTTTGCTCTCAAGACAGTATTCTTTTTTTTCCCCTTAAAAATAATCTTAATGTTTGCTTTTTTCTCTTGTATATTTTTCTTAATTTAGAACATTTGTATTATTGTTTCATTCTCTTGCATATTGGATTATTATTTTTTTTTAATTACCTACTGTGCCTTTAAACGTACTGTTACCATTTTTAAGTGAAGGTACTTGTTGATTTATTTCATCTGTGGAGAAAGGGTCATGGCAGCCAATGCTAAGATTTCAAAATATTAAACATTTTGTAATGTAGATTATTAAAATTTATTTTAAAAATTGGAAAATGCAGAGAAATAGAAAAATGTAAGGCAAAACTCATGTAAAATCTTTCCATTAAGATCCTCCTAGATTTATTTTTGTGTGTATTTTACAAATACTGTATACTTCTAATTGACTAATCAGGTTAGTGGTATGTGAGATGCACTGTGAATGCATTACTAAATGCATTCTGTGAATGCACTGTGTTCTGTGAAATGCACTGTGTATTACCATTAGGACAATCTTTGCTATTTTTTTAGTAAAAAGTATTGCAGTGTTTGAATGATTTTCTTTCCATATTGATAACATTAAATATTTTAAGTTTTTTTAGAAAAGGTTATTCATATTTGTTAGTTGACCTTGAATAGCTCTTTGCTCATTTTAATATTTTAATGTTTTAATTTTTTCTTACAAAATGTTTTTTATACTGAAGATAATTATTCTTTTTTCTTATATACTTGCTGTCAGTGCTTTTGCCCATAATTTAATACTTGCTTTTTAATTTTCATTTTGTTTTTATGATTGTCATTATTGTTGGTATTCTAACATGTTAATTGTTTCTAGTTTTAAGTTTAAAATTTTTTTTATAGTTTACACAACTACTCTTTATTGTTTCTGCCTTCGTTGCCACACAGAATATTTCTCTACACTAAAGTATAACTATTTTATAGTATGTATTTCCTATAAAGAAAGACTTTCTTCTGCATGACCAGAATACACCATCAGCATCAGGAAATTAATATTTATGCGTTATTTGTCTAATCTAGAAATGTCATCATTATTTGTCTAATTTTCATTCATATTTTTTGTTTTCCCAGTAGAGTCTTTTCATAGCAGAAAGATCACAATTTGCTTTTTGTCCCTTAAGTCTCCTGACTTACATAACTTTGGTACTTCTGAAGATTTTAGATCAATTATTTGTAGAATGGTTTTTAATAATGTTTCCTCATGATTAAATTAAGGTTATGTGTTTTTGGCAGGAATGTCACAGAAATGATGCTGTGTTCTTCTCATTGCATCCTGTCAGGTGGTACATGATTTCAGTTTTTCCCATTACTGGTGATGTTACCTTGGTCACTTGGTTAAGGTGGTGTCTGCAAGATTTCTCCACTGGGAGGTTAATCTTTATTTCCATTATAATTAGTAAGCATTTTGTAGTGAAGTACTTTGTATGTAAATACCTTGTTTCTTGTGCCTTTTATTGACTAATTTTAGCATCCATTGTTATTTCTTTGCTTAATGAGTTTATTTCCATGATTGATGGCAGGTGGTGGTATTCTAATTCCTTCATTTACTTTCATCAGTTGGCATTCCATTTTAAGGAGATGCTTTCATCACTTCCCAATTATTTATATCAGTATGGACTAATGACAACTTATGTGTTACTGTTTGTTTTAATGGGTCATTCCCCATCACTGTCATTTATTGTGATGCTTATATTGTCTCAGGTTTGGTCAGTGGGATCCCTTCAGGCTCTCTCCTTTGTCTTTTGACTTCTTTCTGTCATTCTCTGAAGGCTTCTTTACTTGTGACATGACCGTGTGTTCTAGGCTCATCTTGTACCATTGCTTCCTTAGTCCTCGAATAACCATTTCTCAGAGAAGTTTTGAATCCTTTTAGGTAAGAATGGTATTTAGAAACAAAGAGGATGTTAGGTGTGCTCACTGTTACTAGGATGTTGCTGTTTTCGGGCCCTCTCAGTGTGTATAGATGCAGAGATACACACACATTCACATCTATATCTTCTTTATGTTTTGGAGTAGATGAAGTCACATAGATAGTTTTGATTAGTATGTGGATATATGTACATACACACATATCTATATGTATTTCTGTGTCTATTTATGTATGCAACCATAAACTCCTAGGAATTTCTTAGTAATTTCCCCAAACCTAATCCAACAACACATAGTTCATTTTAACTTTCTTTTTGTTTTTATGACTCTAATGTGAGACAGTGAGAAACCTGACTCCTTTTATCCTCAATATATTTATTTGATTATTCTCTTTTTTATTAACAAGTCTTTTATTGCTGCCATCCCATAATACAGAGGCCATCCTAGCTTTGTTTAGGCTCAGACTTCACTCTGGGCTGCTGCTGATTCCCTGCATTGCTGCCTTTTTTCTTTTTAAACCATTTTGGGGATTTAATGCTCAGCTTCAGTCCACAACTCCCCTCTTTCCCTTCCATGGTTGGTTTCCTTACTTTGCACAGGTTCTGACAACTCATTCTGACACTATTTCCACCCCACCCCCAACACTTTGATGAGAACCACCCCTACTGGGTCTCTGATACTAGAGTTGGGCTGTCCTTTCCTTCACAGGATAGATGCTGCCATGCTTCACCCCACCTCAAGACTTAAGTATTCAAGGAGTATAGAAAGTATTCAAGGGAGTATAGAAGGAAGAATGAATTATTTAGATGCAAATCTTTTATCCAGTTAGGTTAATTTTAGAATATTCTGAGATATATGTCTAACTTTTCCCCCTCCCACATGGTTTAGTCAGCTTTTTCAACACTACGTTTTACACAGTGATTTGGAATACTGTTTGAATTATTATTAAATTCTTGGCTTTTCCTTACTTTTCTTGTACCCTGATCTATCTTTGTAGTCTTATTCTAGTAGCACACTATTTTAATTTACTATGGCTTTAAATACATGTTAGTACATGGTAGAACAAATATTACCATGCATATATTTTTTTAGATGAACATTAGGACTAAAAATACTGATTATAGGTTAGATGAACATTAGGACATTAGGTTAGATGAACATTTTAGGTTAGATGAACATAAGGACTAACAATACTAACAATAATGATTTTATTGGTGTTATAGTGAAACATTTTAGGGGAGGATTGATCTTTTTGCAATGTTGAATCTCCCCTTCCAGAAATATGGTGTCTCTCCCTGTCAAATATTTTTCCTTTTTGTAGTTTTCCTTATATGTAGTTGCTGCATACGTTTCTTGGACTTTTATGGTTGTTGGTCTATATGGTGGTGGTTTAGTCGCTAAGTCATGTCTAACTCTTTGTGACTGCATGATCTGTAGTATAGTAAACCTTAAAAACAATAATATCTGGTTCATGAATATTTAGTATGGTTAATAGGGGACATGTAATTCTGAAATGATAGGAACAATTGGAAAATGGTTTGTTGAGTTTGGAAGACAGCAGTCTTTTTTTTTTTTTGGCCGTGCCACATATCTCGTGGGATCTTAGTTCCCCAACCAGGGACTGAACTTGTGCTGTAGCAGCGAAGTGCCAAATCCCAACTTCTGGACTGCCGGGGAGCTCCCTTGGAAGTTACCAGTCCTCAATGGATGGTGGTAAAGGATGATGTAGAGGTTATTTTTAAATGTATTGGCCACTTAAAATGGACCTGCTTTGCATGTGCTAGATCCTGAGAGTTGTGTAAAACATAGTTTATCTCCATGTGACACTCAGACAGTCACATAACTACAATGTACGAAAATAATTGTGATAGTTTACAAATAATGGAACAGCTGAATGAGGTATTATAGAACATAATGAAAGGAGGTATTATTTTTGTCTAAGGAACTGAGTAAGACACACAAAGATATTATAAGGGCTATGCACAATAATAGGGAATTTGACCTTGGAAGAAAGAATCAAATAATAATTCTAGAGAAAGTAACATAAACTAGAGTAATAGGTGCAAAGAGAGGATGCTAATAATAAATAGTTCAGAGAATTTACCATAATCAGTGCAAAGAATAATAAATAATTCTGGAACATTGTGAAATTTAGAAGGGAAATAAAAGGAAGGCTTCTAGACTTACCTGTGTAGTATATCCATTTGCACACGATTCACCGTGTTGACTTATGTTGCTAAATTTTCCACACGTCAATAAAATAGAGTGGCCAGTTTCTTCTGAACCATTTGTCATCAGATTCTTGTTATTTTTTGACCTCTCATATTTTCTTGTATCAGTTCCTCATTTCACTGACACATTTTGTTAAAAAATAAATGGCATGTTACCTTTAATTACCTTTCAGTAATTTTTAAGAAATGGGAAGATTGGGGCAGCATAGGGATATGGGACCTTTTTTGGGTGAGACTTGTGTTCTTTAGAGTCAGAGAAGCTTTTTAGTTTAGAAAGCTGCAATTTCCATAGAGAGTAGTTGGCAGATGATGTGTACATCTGAATTTATTCTCTTGAATAGTTTATTGAATGGCCATGAAGGAATGAGTGTTTATTAGTTTAGGAAGTATCATAATAGACC